TTACATGCATCAGCCTTCAAATTAAATCTGAATTCAACTCTTTTCATATGGTGAGTTTTAATAGTTGCAATCTGTTTCGAATTATCTCCGCTTAACGCCTCAAAAAAGTTACAAGGGTGGATACGCTGACGGTAAACTACTTGGGCTGAGGTAAATTACTGAGAAAACTTTGCTGGATGCAGTTTTTTAGTGGCTTAGTTATTGATGAAATCAAACCACTTTAAAATGGGATAATTTATGTTAATAAAAGTTAATTTTCCTTTATGTGATGATCAACAATTCCTTTCTGACAAAGTCAAAATGAGTTGTAGTTCCATGATGAACAGGGCACTCTTCATCTGCAGATCAGATGCAATGGCAGTTATTCCACTGATGGTCCAGGGTGGCATTGCAGCTAAGCCCAAACTCTCACCCACTGACACTCAAAGCCAAGCGTTTTCAGCAGCATCACTAGTTCGCATTCCAGAATGCTGCCTTCCTCCTCCCTAGTCCATGATTCCGGAGGCCAACTACTTCACCCTGGGGTGTCCTGTGGTTATGAAAAATGCTCTATAAATGAGACTTTTTTTTCACTCTCTCTCCAGTTCAGATCAGCTGCTTCAGCACAGGCTCAAAATTCAGAGTGTGAGAGACTCCACGCTGCAAGCTCATCAGAGGAGGTGTAATCTAAGCAGCTTTGAAAACCCAGTTACCTCAGCTCAGTTAGCAGCAGTCCCACCTCTGGATCAGAAGATCAAGTTTAAATCCCAATCTGAAGATTTTAGAACATAGTCTCGGCTGAACATTTTACTGCAGTACTGCAGAAGGGCTATATCACTGAGACACTAAACCTCTCAGTTTGTCATAAAAGATGCTATCACTTCCCCATTTGGTATGTCTCTGTTCAAAACAAGGTAATTGATGTGAATGCACTTTGCGACTTGCTGAGGTTGTGAAAGACTCAATATAAACCCAAGTCTTTATTTCAACACTAAACTCAATTCTCCCTATATTACTCCATTACGATGACCTATAGTATGGGCTGTGATCCTTCACTGAGCCTCCTTAATTTAAAAAAAATAATTCAACTGCTAAGCACCACAAACTGATGTTGGGATTCAACTAAATGCCAGCTGTCCATTAATTTTTCAAATTAATTCTTGGGATAGAAATGCCACAGACACGGCCAGCATTCATCACCATCCTTAATTGCCTTTCAGGAGATGCTGGTGAGCCATCTTCTTGAATTGCTGCAGTTCACATAGTTTAAGCACATCCATAGCAATGTTCAGGAATGAATTCGCAGAATTTTGGCCCAGCACCTATGAAGGGACAGTGATGTATTTCCAAGTTTGATGTGTGGCTTGGATGAATACTTACAGGTGGTGGTGTTCTCGAGTAACCTAAGCTCTTCATTTTCTTGATAGTAGACATCAGATGAACTTAGAACAGGAGTAGGCCATTGAGCCCATCATGCCTACTCCACCATTAAATAACATTATGGCTGAGCAAATACTTTAATGCATTTTACCCACACTTCTTTTTTAAGTCACTCATGGGGCATGTACATCGCTGGCCAGTCAGCATTTATTGCCTGCCCCTAGCTGCCCTTGTTCTGAGTGGCTTGCTAGGCCATTTCTGAGGGCAGTTGAGAGTCAAACAATTGCTGTCGGTCTAGAGTCACACATAGGTCAGACCAGGTGAGGATGGTTCCATCTTTCCAAACGACCGTATGCCAATGGTAATCAGAAATCTATTAATCTCTGCTTTAAATATACTGAAAGGTTGAGCTTCCACAGCCCCTGGGATACAGAATTCCAAAGATTCACAACTATCTGAGTAAGAAAAATTCTCCTCCTCTCAGTAAAATGACAATCCCTCATGTTAAGTTATGCCCAGATGCTGGTCTCCCAACTAGGGGAAATATCTTTTCAGCATGTACTCTGCCCATCCTTTTAAGTATTTTGTAGGCGTCAATGAGATTACCTTTCATCCTTTGAAATTCTGAAACTCTAGAGAAATTAGGCCCAGTTTGCCTCATCTCTATTCATTGTACAATCCTGTCATTCCAGTCTGGAGAATCTTCACCTCCTCTGTGGCAATAACATCTTCCTTGAGGTACAGACCAAAACTCATAATGTGGTCTCCTTTACAGTGGGGAGACAAAATGCAGGCTGGGTGACCGCTTTGCAGAACACTTACTTTCTGTCTGAAAAAATGACCCCGAGCTTCTAGATGCCTGCCACTTCAACACACCAAAATATTCCCATGCCAGTATTGCTATCTCAGGCCTGCTGCAATGCTCCAGTAAAACTCAACATAAGCTGAAGGAACAGTACCTCATCGTCACCTTACAGCCCTCAGGATTCAATGCTGAGTTTAACAGTTGCAGAACATCAATACCACCCTCCGTGTTCATTACCCTCGCCTACACCCCAGATCCTGTTCTGTATGGGTTGCTTCCAGCACATCCAGTATGTTTTCATCTATTCACAATTCCTGTTAGCACCCATTCAACATTTGTTTCTTTCCCCAGCTTAACATCAGCAATCCCTTTCTTTCTCTCTGGGCTCCAACTTTTCGACTTACTCCTCCTCTGACCACCCTTGCCATCAACATAAATACCACCATTTTCCAGCTGCTTTCAATTCTGACAAAGGATCACTTGACTCAAAACCTTAACTCTGTTATTTTCTCTCCACAGATGCTGCCAGACCTGCTGACTTTCTCAAGCAATTTCTGTTTTTGTAACATTCAAGTGGGCTTCCTAAAAGCTTGCTGCATCTGCATGATGACTAATTGACAAGGATACCCAAATCCTTTCCTGCATCTACACTTTCTGACCTCTCACCATCTAAGAAATATTCTGCACATCTGTTCCTCGGACTAAATGGATAATCCCATATTTTTCTACATTATATTCTGCCATGTTAGTGCCCACTCATTAAGCCTGTTCAAATCCTCCTGAAATTGTGTGGCATCTTCCTCACAACACACATTCCTGTTTACCTTTGTATCATCTGCACATTTGAAAATATTACATTTGTTCTTCTCATCCAGATTATCAATGTATCTTGTGAACAGCTGAGGCCCAAGTTCTGGGCCTTGCAGTACCCCACCACAAGGCCTCAAATATAGAGCTGAAGGAGCCTTGGTGAGAACTAAGTATCGTCGTCACTGCAAATCACTTGTTAACGAGTATGATTGTCCATCTAGGAAGTTCTGCATCATTGGTCATAGATTCTGTGGGTCCTTATGTGGTTGATGAGCCTGCTCCTAGAGCCTCATCTCTAAACACACATTTGGCAGGTTTTTCCGAAAGATGGAACTGGTCCTTCCCCTTGAGATTGCTCACATTCCTTTCTCTGACTCTCCTCTTGCCGATGGATGTTCTTAAAGAATTATGCCCCTTCATACAGGAGCTTTCTCCAAGTCAGTTTCTTCTAAACGGCAGTCTCTCAGGTGTTGACTTTTATGTTGCATTTCTTGAAGGAAGCCTTCAAGAAGTCTTCAAAAAGTTTTCTTGTCCTCCTCTAAATCAAGTGCCTTCCTTGAGCTGGGAGAAAACAAAAATTGCTTTAGCAGTTGGAAGTCAGGCATCCTAGGTACTTAGCCAGCCCAAAACAGTTAGTTTCAGATGATCACAGCCACGATGGTGGTGCTATTGACTACTTCAAGATACTGATGTTTGTATGCCCGTCCTCTCAGCTGATGTGGGAAATCCATCTCAAACAGCATTGATGGTACTTCTCAAGCATCTTGAGGTTATGGCTATACATAGTCCAAGTTTTAGAGTCGTACAGAAGAGTCAGAAGGACAAGTGCCTCGTACAGGAGGATCTTGGTGTCAGCACAGATGTCATGGTTGTTGAAGATTCTCATCCTTAGCCAGTGCTTGCAGATTAGATGTGGATCTCTGTACCGAAGTCAACCTTAGATGAGAGGTAGCTTCCTAGATAGGGAAAATGTTCCATTTTTGGAAGGATTTGTCCATTGATCTTAATGGAGCGACAGACTGGAACTTGACTTGGGACAAGTTGGTAATAGGACTTGAGAATGATGTAGATATCAATTCTTCAGAATGCTTCCATGAAAGGCATTAAGCAAAGACTTCCAAGACAGCAGAGATAACATTGCCATCCATAGGCTGAAGTTCCACAAGTGAGGTCAGCGTTGTTTTGTTCTTGGATTTCAACCAGTTCAGGTTGAAAAATTCTCCGTCCATCATATACAGAACCTCCACATCACTGGCAAGTTTGCTCTTGACAAGAGGAAGAATGGTGGCGATGAAAATGGAGACTATACTAAGCATACAGAGACAGTGAAAGATAAGGAACTGAATATCCATCTGATCTACAACATTAGAGCCAGAAAGCTACAGTAAAGAACTAATATTGTAGAGTTCAGCATTTTTAGTAATAATTGTTTCAATATATACCACAAGGTCAGGATTAATTGCCCCATTATCTTTTAGTCTTTTTATCATTTGCAGCTACTATCTACAGAAAATAAAGTACTCGTATTTATATAACATTTATAAATTTGAGGTATCCCTAAACAGCTCTCAGTCAATTGAGTGCTTTCAAAAGTAGTCATTGTTGTACTGTAATCAATGGTCCTCTTAAAGTCATGGCTAGTGCTAGCTATGCTCTTACAACAAGTTTATAGTAAAGTGATTCAGTGCAATCAGCCTTCAAAGACAGTGATTCTTCTGACTAATGTGTTAATCACTATGTTAGTCAGAAAGGAAGATTAAGCCAGAACATGTATGGTGACTGAGAAACCCCAAGCTAAGCCATTCACTGCTAAAGAATCCATTTGGCATTATTCTCACTACAGCTGTGCAGAATGGACATGGGGGATAGTGAGTGTCTTTCACTGCTGAAGTGAATAGGTTAGTGTAAGAGAAATAAAGGGTGCATGAATAAAACTAACTAAAATGATAATGAACTGTACTCTGGCTTCCTGCCTTGCTTGTGTGAATGACAGTGGGGAGAAAAAAAGGAAAAATTGAATACTTACTGGCGTCCCCATCATTGTATATGTTTTTCCTGAGCCTGTTTGTCCATAGGCAAACAAACAGACATTGTAACCCTCTATAGCTCCCGACAGGACTGATGTGCCAAGATCCTGATACACCTGTAGATACAGAGAATAATTAGGATTAGTGGACTAGAGAATTGCAAACGTCAATGTCACAAAAATGAACAATTTCAGAAGGCACAACCTAGCCTTTTTTGAGCCTCAAAATATGTCCTAGTTGCACAGTAGATGTCATATCAACACACATTTGGAATGATGAGCAATCAAAACTGCTAGTCATTGAGTCCACAGGTTTGAATGACGTAATGAGTACATAGAAAAAAAATGCTCAATAGTTTTCTGTATAACAATGCCCTCAATTAAATGAATCTCTTGCAGTCTCTTTATACACAAATAGAAAACTTACCAACATTTGAAATTTGAAAATTGAGGATGAATAAATAAGTGCAGAAAGCACACATCCAGTCTTTCAGTATGTGAGAAAATGTCACATTAGCATTTTGAGATGATTCTAATCCAGGATGCTTCCCATAAACTTTACCCAATCATTTCTCATCAGACATGTTGTGTATTATGTTAGTAAATTGATAACAGGGTTATTAATGATGAAGATGAAGAGTGAGCCAAAGCTTAATCGGTATTATTCTTTCTTCAGGGTTAGAAGGTTGTGCATTCAAATCTTCCAAGACCAAAACTCACTGTAGTGATGAGGGAGCGCTGCACTGTTGGAGGTACTGTCTTTCACATGTAACATTAAAAGAAGGCCTTGAAAGTATCTGACCTCCTGTCGAAAAGACAGGAGGAAAGGAAAAGGGAGGGAGATAGCTCTGCCTATGACACTATCCCTGAGGAACTCCTGCAATGATATCCTGGGACAATCACAACCATCATCCTTTAGGCTAGGTATGACTCCAACCAGCAGAGAATTTTCCCAATTTCACTGACTCCAGTTTTGCCAGGGCTCCCTAATGCCACACTCAGTCAAATACTGCCTTGATGCCAAGGGCAGTCACTGTACCTTGCTTGTGAAATTCAGGAGGTGCTTACATCAAAGTTCAAGAGGGCCAAAGGTTATGCTCCATAACTCTCAGGTTAGACCCCACTACAGTAGCTATGGCCATTTCTGGTCACCATACCCCTGGAAGGATATACTGGTCTTGGAGAGAATTCAGCGCAGATCCAACAAATTCATATTAGAGCTGAAGGAGATAAATTCTAAGCTGCACAGCCTAAGCTTTAACTATGGAAGATTAAAGAATAAATTATTTGAGGTACATAAGATTATTAAAGTATTTTGTAGCAGGAGTGCAGAACAAGAGGGTATTGCCTCTAAAATGAGACTTTGGCAGTTTCAGGGTGATTTCAGAAGCATTTCTTCCCAGAGGGTATTGGAAATTACAAGCCATTTCCTTCAAAAAAACTGTTGAAGCTGAGTCAGTTAAAAATTCTGTTCCTAAAATTAATTAAGTTGAGTTAGATAAGATGTTAAAAGTTACAAAACTAACACAACTAGATGTATTGCAAGTGCAGATCATTTGAATCAGGGTTAGGTTTGCCTGGCTTATTAGAATTAATCAAATGTTTATCAAACAGCACGTAAGGCTCAAAAAGGCTGAAGGGCACACTTATCAAGCCTTGACCCACTGTCTAAGCAACTGGCTAACATGCAAGTCACTTGAAGCTGAAATAACCAAGTGTCTCTATCATCCAAGGAGTGCACTGTGGGAAGCACTGCTACAAGTGACATACCAGTTGTTGACTTCAATGAATGAAATACTTGTATGGATTGTCCCTCACAGCAGCAGTCTCAGAGGTCAAGTAATAAAGGGCATAGAAACATTCTCATAAGAGATTTTGTGTTACCAGGCTGTAATACATACAAAATCTGGCTTCATTAGGGACAATAAGTTACAGCTATTTATGTGACAACACCAAGATACCAATGGCTATAACAGTGCCAGTGCTGTTACCAACTTTGTTTTATTCATTTTTCTTAAAAGTACTGCAGCAAATCAGAATTGCTGCAGTTCAGAATTAATACGATACATTTTTTTGATTTTGTACAGTGCCAGTACGGTATTCAAATGATGTAACGCAAGTCTTTAAAAAAATCTTGCGATCAGTAGCAGTACAATCATTACGATGCAGAATGCATGAAAAATTCTGCTGCTTTCTTTACAGCCTGAGTGTATAAAATAGACAACGCTGGGTGGAGAAGGGATACACAGACAATGATATTATCTGTATGGACTTCAAATTTCATTTTTCTGAGACATGAGACAGAAATTTTGTGATGGAATTGGGGTAAAGTCATTATAATTCGATCCATATCTCCATATTTTCCACGTTTTCCCTTATCGGAAAAAAGAAACCTGTGCTCTTGATTGGGATAGAAAAAAATTCTATGCTAACTTGCCAGAACAGGGCCAACAACTTTGGCTCCGTTCATATTACAGCTGTTTAAATAAGGCATGTAGTTAAAATGTGAAGCATATGTCAGCTTGGCTCTGAGATATGGTGATTTTATTCTAAGCTTTCTTTGATGGGTTTTTTGTTTTGTTTCTAGGCTATGATCTAAAAATCAAACTTTAAACTGTTGTATGCATTACTTTATTAAGTCACACTGTCACACTGCCAATCATGATCTATACTCCGGGGAAATGAGCTCTGCTGTCTCAAGTCCATTAAGATTGCTGTTAGGTATTACATATATAATACCATTGTAGCTTTGAACCACCTGGGCTACTAGAGAGGCAAAGGCATTCTGGTGTTTTTCTCAATGGAAAAGTGAATCTGCAATTAAAATGAAGCATTAAAATTAATGATTAAAATCTAAGAATATTTTCTGCTCTTGCACTGATCATTCACGAGTTGGAAAGACATTTTTTATCGTGCGAATCATTCTACTATGGACAACATTTTTAATGCACTTTCTTCCCATGCAACTAGATTCGAGGTGAAATATTTGTCAGCATTGTAAATATAACTAAAACTGCTTTTTCAAACAATACAGCAATCCTGATTAACCTAGTCACTTAGATCTCACCAGTGGGAGATGTACAGGCCTCTCATTCAGACTGCTCTGGGGAAAGAATGGAAAATCGTTTAGCTGAACCTTCTGGCTGGAAAACCAGGAAAAGGAATCGAAACACTCAAACAGATATGTGAAGCCAAGTTTATCCCATGGGAAATCTGTGCAGATGTCAAGAACTAACTCAAGGACATATAGGAATTCAGAATCTGAGAATTCTACTGACATACTACACTTTTAAAATAGGTAAAGCATCTCTATTTGTGACTTTGCTGATCAACTATTCCCTGACTGTAGCACAATATGTAAAATACAGACATACAAATATGTTACACAATACCACTTCCGAGATCCAAGTGGATTTTTTACCCCTCACAGCTCGGTGTATCACCACAATAGGTTAAAAGAATCTGACACATTTGACACACAACACCACAGCAAACGTATCAGCTCTACACAAAAAAGATGTTGAACCTAAGTGGCTGAAGTCACAAACATTGGTACCTGTTCATATGACAAATATTTCCTGGTCAGGAAAGCACTCTGCAAAACTTCCATCTGCCAGAATGAGAACATTTGTATCAGAATCTTGGAACACATGATGAATTTTCTCAACAAGCTTTGCATTTGACAGTGCCCAGTTGACCATAAACAATTATTTGGAAAGAAATTTCTTCAAAATCTTTGTTGATGCATAATGACACATCATTTAATACTGAAGCCAGTTTGACGGTGACCAGAAAATCATTGTTGCTTGTCATAAAACCTACTTGGTTCACTAACGTGCTTGAGGGAAGGGAATCTGCCATGCTTTCTTGGTCTGGCTTACATTCCAGACGCCAAAGTGGTTGATTCTATTGCTCGTCGAATGGGCCTAGCAAGCCACTTAGTTGCACAAAACCACTGCAAAGTTTGATAAATATATCCCTCCAACCGACTATCAGTGCTCCTCTGTTGAATACCACTTGGTGGACGCATCGAGGGTGGTAAGGTCACAAAATGCACACTGGGTCAGGGACTCAATGTCTATCACCAACAGAGGTTCAGGAAACCTGTACAGATAACTTATGACCTGATAGTCAATCCAGAGACCTGTGACCTGAATATTTAAGGATGCTTTACATTTCATAAAGACAAGAAAATAGGAAAGGGTGGTGAAGTTGTTCTGTTAATTCAGGGTGACATTAATTCAATAGTGAATTTAGAAACTTAGTTCTAAAGATCAAGATATAGCATCAGTTTGGTTAAAGATTAAAAAATAGCAAATGGAAGAACTCAATTGTGGAGTAGTTACAAGTAAATTATAACCACTGAACAGTTAGAATACCCTAGAACTAATTATACAGCAAGCAATAATAGGGGGCTTATGAGAAAGACATGAGAAAGAGATAATCATGCGTGATTTTAATCTACTTATAGGCAGGACAGGCAAAGAGAGCCTGGAAGATGAATTCCTGGGATGTTTTCAGGAGAATTTCACAGAGGACCATATTTTAGAACCAACCAGAGCAGTTTGTTGCAGATCTGGTAGTGAGTAACGAGACAGTATTACTTAATTACCTCCGAGGAAATAAGTATCATAAAATGATTGAAATTCATATTCAGTTCAAGGAAGAGAAGAATGGTTTAAGACTGCCATTTTAAATCTAAATAAATTACAACAGAATTAAGACAGGGACTGGCAAAAATGAAATGGAAAAAAAGTTAACATATAGATCAGTAGAAACGCAATGGTAGACATTAGAGATAATTCACTATGTTCAGCAAAAACATTATCAATGGGGAAGAAAGAACTCTGGGGGAGAACCTTCTAGTCCAGGATGTGGCACAAATGGATACAGATATTATAATCAGATCCCAGGCAGGATTTGCCTAATTAATACAGTTCCAGGCAGATACCCTGAATTGTCAAGCTCTCGTGAGGAGGGATAAACTGGCACTCAGAGAGATAAACTGGCACCCTTTCTTTATACAACTGTCCTCTTGGTTGATTGCAGCAAGGTCATTACACAAAGAATCCCCTTCCTTGCAGATGCCTTTCCCCAGACCAAATTAATTTACGTTT